AAGGTTAGCCCAAGAGAACGCAGCGAATCACTCTCCTGAAGGTTAGTATCGACCATGCTGATTGGTTCACTATGGAGTATTGCTGCCATATATGGTCTGAAGCCCCTTCTGTTTGCCTCGGGGTTCTTGATAGGCTCCACAGGCGGATATGCAATATAATTGGCCCTGTTCTGCCATCTCGTCTACAGTCACTCTCTCACAGTCGCGCCGTCGCCTCTCTCTGTCTTTTTTACAAATACATTCACGGCAATTGCTCCGAGGAGCTGCATTCGCTGGTTTCCAAACTTCATGAGTTCAATCGCCCTACGAGGCTAGCATCCCGCTCTCACTCTTTCACTCCTAAATGTAGCCGTCTCTTCTACTCCAATAAGCTTCATATCTCGCACCTCTCGCCTGTGGAACTCCCGTCCCTATTCCAGTTTCCCTGATCTCCAGCTATTCAAATGTAATGTCAATCGACACCTCCAGTTGCCTTGAACTCTCCACTATCCTTCTCCCCATCTTTTCCTCTATCACTCCTATCTGATCTTGCTCCAAATTTTCTGTAACCCCTTGCGTCCTAGTGGCTTTTCGCCTTGCTTGGGGTGAAACGATTAAAAAAAAAGAAAGATGTTTAATAGATAGAAATTTCATTTTGGAGGCATTAAAATTAACAAGACTTGGTCCAGTTAACAGCAGGTTGTAACTCCTTTTTGAGATCAGCTGCCAATTTGACCTTATCAAACAGATCAAGCTTACTAAAGAGACAGGTGTAAATAGTTGTGTCATCAGCATAGATAACGAGTCGAGAACTGATGTCATCAGGAAGGTCTGATGAAAATTAAGAACAAGGTAGGTCCAAGGATAAAAACCTGGAGAATTCGTGCATAAGTACAAAAAGATCTAGAAGAGTTGCCATTCAGGTCAACTTTGATTTTGCGATTTGATAAGATTTGATTCAGTTTAAAAAAATTCAAGAAATGCTATAACCTTTCAACCTGTAAAGAAGAGAGGAATGCTAAACACTGTCGAACGCCTTCGAAATGACCAAAGCAACAGCTTCACCATTCTTATCGAAAGCTTGATATATTCTTTTGACAATAATAGTTTTGTTGCTGATTTTAAGACGGTAAGCGTCCGACTGTATGCTGAAGTTTAATCTCAACTTCATATATATCGTAAAGGTATGGCGGCTGAATGTTCCTTGGGCGAAATAAGTTTAATATGAAAAACACATTCAGTTTATGATTTTACAATCGAGAAAATAGACGTAAATAAAATCGGAAACTAAAAGAAATTGCGTTCACCCCCTGATACAGTATTGTAAAAAAAAAAAAAAATTAGAAAATAAAATATCGGGTCTGTGAAAAAAGAAAATGATGAGAAAAAAAATTGGGTCTGTGTAAAACTAGAAATAATTAAAATTTCGTGGAGGTTGGATTAAAAGATTGGAATCGGGAAGCCGGTTGCGTCTTGCTGTAAACGAAGCGATCCGTGAAGCGTTCACTTGCTCATTTGCATAACTGATTTGCATAATTAATCTGCATAATATTGTCGGTCTTTGTTTGGCAATCCTTTGATTATCGATTCACGTAATTATCGCTGAAAACTAATTGGAATTGGTTTATTGATGTTTTGATGTCCGTCGGTTGAGGCGGTTTTCGCTAGATTTTGTTAAGATTCTTGTGCGACAGAAAAGAAAGAACAATTTTTTCCAAGAACAAAGGTTGTTATAAAGCGGGGGTCGAGAAATGAAGGGCGTTTCTATTTGATAGAGTTTTTGAATTTTCAAATTAGAATAATTCATTAAGTTTCTTTAATCGCTTGAAATGTTAATAATTATATGCTTTATAAACTCCGTATTTTTTTAAAAAATTGTTTTTGTTATTAGCGTTTCGGGTTGTGGTTTTAATCTAACGAGAGAGTGGGAGGTTTTTCGCATAGAACGAAAGGAAAGAAAATAGATAAAAAAAAATTGTGGCAAAAGAAAGAAAGAAAAATTAGAAATTGAAAGAAAGAAAGAAAGAAAGGAAAAAGAAAGTAAATAAATTGAAGATATATAGAAAGAAATGAAGTAAAGAGTAATATATATATATATATATCAATACAAATTAAAGAAAGCAAGCAAGAAGGAAAGACCAAGAAGTTGAAAGCATGAAAAGAAAAAGAAAGAAAATTAAAGATATGTAGAAAGACATAAAGTGAAGATAAAAGAAAGACTGAAATATGAATAGAAATTAAAGAAAGGAAGAGAGGAAGAGAGGAAAAAGTAAAAAAAAAAAAGAATGAAAACTGAGGATATGTTAAAAGACAGTGAAGAAAATGAAAGAAAAGAGGAATAAAAAAATGAAACATAAGAAATGTAAAGAGAGTTAGAAAGTAAGAAAGAATGAAAAAGGAAGAAAGAAAGAAAATTGAAGATATTTACAAAAACAGAAACCGGGGGCAAAAAAAAAAAACAAGATAAAATGGTTAATAAAAGGAAAGAAAGAAAGATTTTAAAAAAAGGAACGAAAGAAAGATTAAAAAAACAAGGAACGAAAGAAAGAAAATTGAAGATATTTAGAAAAATAGAAACAGGGGACAAAAAATATATAAAAAAAAAGGTTAATAAAAAGAAGGAAAGAAAAATTTAAAAAGAAGGAACGAAAGAAAGAAAAATGTGGATATTTACAAAGAGACAGTGAAGAAAAGGAAAAGGAGAGATTTTTTAAAAAATATTGAAGAATGAAATGTGAAGAAGTAGAGAAGAAAAAAGAAAGAGAATTAAAGATATATAGATAGATAGAAAAGGAAGAAAGAGAAAGATAAATAAAAAGGAAAGAAAGCAAGGTGAAGAGAGGTAAAAAAATATATAGAAAAGCTGAATGTATCTAGAAAGAGAGGAGACGAGGAAAAAACAGATAGGAAGAGACATAAAAGTGAACTCAAGAAACGTGAAGCAATCTAGAGGGAAAGACAGAAGCTTTAAAAAAGTAAAACAAAAGAGAAAAAGGTGAAGAGGTGTAGAAAGAAAGAATGAAAGAATGAATGAAAGAAAGAATGAATGAAAGAAAGAATGAAAGAAAGAGAGAAAGAAATAAAAAAGAATGAAAGAAAGAAAAAAGAAAGAAAGAATGAAAGAAAGAAAGAAAGAAAGAAAGAGAGAAATAAATAAAGAAAGAATGAAAGAAAGAAATAAAACCGAAAGAAAGAATGAAAGAAAGAAAGAATGGAAGAAAGAATGAAAGAAAGAAATTAATAAAGAAAAGGTGAAGAGGTGTAGAAAGAAAGAATGAAAGAATAAATGAAAGAAAGAATGAATGAAAGAAAGAATGAAAGAAAGAGAGAAAGAAATAAAAAAGAATGAAAGAAAGAAAGAAAAAAGAAAGAAAGAAAGAAAGAAAGAGAGAAATAAATAAAGAAAGAATGAAAGAAAGAAAGAAAGAAAGAATGAAAGAAAAAAGAAAGAAAGAAAAAGAAAGAATGAAAGAAAGAAAGAAAGAAAGAGAGAAATAAAGAAAGAAAGAATGAAAGAAAGAAATAAAAAGGAAAGAAAGAATGAAAGAAAGAAAGAATGACAGAATGAAAGAAAGAATGAAAGAAAGAATGAAAGAAAGAAATTAATAAAGAAATAAAGAAAGAATGAAAGAAAGAAAGAATGAAAGAAAGAAAGAAAGAAAAACCAAGAAAGAATGAAAGAATGAAAGAACGAAAGAATGAAAGAAAGAAAGAAAGAATGAATGAAAGATAGAAAGAATGGAAGAAAGAATGAAAGAAAGAAATAAAGAAAAAACAAAGAAAGAAAGAAAGAATGGAAGAAAGAAAGAATGAAAGAAAGAAAGAAAAAACAAAAAACGTTAGAATGATAGAAAGAAAGAAAGAAAGAATGAAAGAAAGCAAGAAAAAAGAAAGAAAGAATGAAAGAAAAAAGAAAGAATGAAAGAAAGAAAGAAAGAAAGAAAGAAAGATTGAATAAAAGAAAGAATGGAAGAAAGAATGAAAGAAAAGAAAGAAAGAAGTAAAAAATGGAAGAAAGAAAGAATGAAAGAAAGAAAGAAAGAAAAAAGAAAGAAAGAATGAATGAAAAAAGAAAGAAAGAAAGAAAGAATGGAAGAAAGATTGAAAGAAAGAAAGAAAGAAGGAAAGAATAGAAGAAAGAAAGAATGAAAAAAAGAAAGAAAAAAGAAAGAATGAAAGAAAAAAGAATGAAAGAAAGAAAGAAAGAATGACAGAAAGAAAGAATGACAGAAAGAAAGAATGAAAGAAAGAAATAAAAAAAGAAAGAAATTAAGAAAGAATGAAAGAAAGAAAGAAATAATGAAAGATTGAAAGAAAGAAAGAAAGAATGAATGAATTAATGAATTACAAAAAAATAATAGAAAGCGAAAAAAAAGAAAAAAAATAGAAAGCGAAAAGTATTATTAAAAGGATGCAACTGAAGAAAAAGAAAATAAAGACAGACAGATGAAGAGGCGGGAAGTGAAAAGAAAAGGAAAGCAAGAAAGAAATAAAGAAAAAATGTGAAGCAAGGAAGAAAGAATAAGAAAAGTAAGAGAGAGAGAGAGAGAGAGAGAGAGAGAGAATACAATAAAATCACCAAGCATGTAAGTAAGCAATAAAGAAAGAAAGAAAGAAAGAAAGAAAGAAAAAAAAATGTGAAGCAACGAAGAAAGAATAAGAAAAGAAACAGAGAGAGAATACAGTAAAAATCACCAAGCGAGAAAGCAAGAAAAAAGAAAGAAAGAAATAAAAAATGTGAAGCGATGAAAAAAGAATAAAAAAAATAAAGAGATAGAGAGAGAGAGAGACGAGAGAGAGAGAGAGAGAGAGAGAGAGAGAACAATAAATATCACCAAGCAAGAAAGCAAGCAATCAAGAAAGAAAGAAAAATATGAAGTGACAACGTAAGAATAAGAAAACAAAGACAGATAGAATACAATAAAAATCACAAATCAACTAATCAAGAAAGAAAGAACGAAAAATGTGAAGCGATGAAAAACGAATAGGAAAAGAGAAAGAGACTGAGAATACAATAAAAATCACCAAACAAGGAAGCAAGAAAGAAAGAAATAAAAAAAATGTGAAGCTATGAAGGAGAATAAAAAAAGAAAGAGAGAGAGAGAGAATACAATAAAAATCACGAAGCAATCAAGAAAGAAAACGAGAAAGACAGAAAACATAATTGATGCCAAAAGAATGGAAAACTACAGACAAATCAACTACAAAAGAAAGAGAAAAAAAGAAGGAAATAAAAGAAAAAAAAATCGTGCAACGGAAAAAAAAAAGCCGTGGATAATTAGGGTTATAAAGAAAATGGGTGATTAGTTATCGTCTGCTTCATTAATTCCGGGACAATGATATTTTTGCTCTTGTTCCGAATCAGGTTTTGAAAGAGAAAGAACGAAGCGCTATCAGTAAGAAATGCCCCCTCCCACAAAGAAAAAAAAATGGCGACCATGTCGCAGGGAAAATTTGAAGGAAAAAAAAAATCTAGTCGAAAGAGAAAACGGAGACGGAAATAAGAATCAATCATTGTGTGACGCGAGCAGAACAGGAAGAAACTAATTATCAGCGAGGCACTGAAAGAAAAAGTAAAATGGCAATGTGACGCATTTTGCAGCATATGCATAACACCAGGCTTTAGCCAAACAAGTAGATGCCAAATGACAGTTTTATTAAAAGACAAACTTATAATAAAAATAATGACGAATCAACACCTGTGCCTGTTGTTATTGGGTCTTTTGGAAATGATATCGAAATGAGCAAACAAATATGTTGAACAATTTTCCGGTTGGCCCTAAAATATATGAATTGTAAAAATCATATGGGAACTTCTCTCCATGCAATGACCACAATTAATTTCTATTCTCCTTGATTGCATGGCACCTCATCTGATTGCACATTCTGATACAAGAAACTTGTCTCTCAAAGTCTCTAGTTAAGACATAGGAACAATCCGTACTGTATAAAGCAAAGGCAAAGGCGATAATAATAGTCAAAGCTATATAATAATAACCGTTTTGCATTTATTATTCATATATTTTGTGACGCTGTAAAGGGAGTTAATTAAAAAATTGAAGTATTAAATTTTTGAGTGGCTCCATTCCTTAATCAATTTGATAATCAACTCTCCATAATAATTACCTTTTTGCATATATTATTTATATATTTTGTAACTTTCTATAGTGGAAAGGGAATTAAATCAACTTAAGTTATTAAATGTTTGAATGGCTTCATTCCTTAATTAATTTGATAATCAACGCTATAATAATTCCTGTTGTACAATTATTTATAAAGAAAAACAACCTGATTTTAAAACCCCGCTGTCTTGCGGCCATATCCAAACACGAATTAGCTATGGAAATAAATCCAGACAGAAAATTTGTAGTGTGGCTCCGAAGACATTTTGCTCTCAAAACCGACAAGCTTCCGGCAACTCTTTCAGTCAAGCCGGACCCAATTGTAATGAGAGCACAACACGGAAGGCGGTATTTTACGCGTTATAAGTCAATACTCATCTGGCGTCGAGTTTGACGCCAAGGCGCGTCTTCGGCGGTGGCAAGCATTGCTGTATTCTATTGGTAAACTACCGTCCACTTCAAGCGGGGCAGCCCCCGGATAGTAGGATATTGCCCCGCAACGGTTTGCCTGCTTCACTAGGTGCCTGTGGCATATAGCTGCTAGCTTAACAAGCACATGGATATCCATGCAACAAATAAACATAAAAAAGAACAAAGAATCCAGCCGTTCATATCGCAAGCTGGATTGTGCGAACCATGCAATCATGTCTGTCTGAGTACCGTCAGAAAATTGGTGACACTCGCAAAACTGCAGCGATCAACCGTGAGCTAAATAGACTGAACAGTGACATGGTATCTCTTCAGGCAACACGACTTCCAGACAGTGGATCTCTAAACGAGGAACGCTACACCTTCTTCTGGTAGAGGAGAGGAGTCGATGAATGCAGAGAACATGGGGTTAGATTAGTTGTCAGAAACACCCTGGTCCGTATAATTATACGTCTAGCAAGTGGTACAGAGAGCATTCGCCTCCCTACATATGAAGATTTTGTAAACCTTTACCGCATTTATGCACGAACACTCCAAGTCACGCCCGAAATCAAAAACTAGTTCTACGCTCAACTTGACAGCATTGCCAAGCGTATCCCATCATGTGAACATATTCACCTTCTTGGAGACTTCAGTGCCAGGGTGGGTATGGTCAAATGTGCTGACCACATGTGTTAGATCACCATGGTATAAAGAAAATGAATGAAAATGTCCAAAGACTTCTAGAATTCTGCTGTGTGTGTGACAAAAATCTATTTTCAGAAAAGAAAGCTTGCCACAAAGCATCCGAGATACATTCAAGGTCCAATCATTGTTTACCATCTGGACTTGTTCATCACCAGACACGACTGTCTAAACAACGTTTGCAACACCAGAGCATACTACAGCGCAGACTACGACACTGGCGATTTCCTCATCTCCTCAAAGGTAAAGTTAGAACCTAAGAATCTGTAGTATTAAAAAAAAAACGCCTGTTGAGAATTAACTCTAGCAGGATAACCTATTCAGATGAAAACGAGGTCTTAGAGAGGATTATGGAGACTCTTCGCAGTGACTCATTACAGTAGGTGGAAGACAGGTAGAACTCCATTCGGAACACCATCTACAATGCTGAAACCCCGACATACAGAAAGAACATAAACAAGACCAAGAACTGGTTTGCGGCTAACATATCCACATTAAAGACGATCATTAACACGAAGCGCAGTCCGTGATTAGATTCAAGAGTGACCCTAGCCAGTCAAAATCCACAACTTCTGAAAGATTCTCGTAGCAAATGACTACTGGCTCCACCTAACAGATAACACCCAACAGGCTTCCCGTCAATAGCAACATCTCAAACAGACGACGGCATTAAACAAGCAAATGGCAAACTAGAAAGAAAAAAAAACACATGAACGATGGGTAGAGAACGATCTAGAAATTTACTCAAGACAAAAATTATGTCCCAAAAGAAGCGCTTGATGTTATTAAGGTTCTGTCAACCCAGGAAGAACTGGACATTGAGCTTACAAAGGAAGAGCTTAACAAATTTATTGATACTCTAGCTCAGGGGTCGGCAACTCATTCGACCCCGCAGGCCGCATCGTTTTATAATGACGGGTCGCGGGCCGGACGAAGGCCATTAATGAAAAATTAAGGAAAATTATATATGCAGACCCCTGTCAACCTAAATATTTAAAACCATAATGAGAATAAACATTGAGAAATCAGAAAAACAAAAGAAAATCTAAAATTAAAAAAAAAACACCTAACAAAAATTACTTTTCCTCAAGGAACGTCAAAATACTTCAAAGTGAAAAAAAAATCAACCGAAGTGAAATGGATGAAATTATGACGTGTAGGTTTGAAACTGTTATTGAAAATTGTTCCACAAACGAACCACACACACACATCAAACAAAAACGAAGCACATATACTCATACATACGAATACAAATAGTTGCAAACATATACACTTACGTACGTACACATGCGATATCATCCACACATTCATGAGGCATGTATGTATAATGCGCGTATGTTTAACTGTCTTTAGATTTCTGCTACCTCGCATGTCACAGTCCCTCCCTGGCCTCTTTCACTTTATCGTTTCTTTCGCTTCTGTTATCTTTTAATGCAGCCAAGGGTCATAACAAATATGTATCCATTATTTGACATTAAACCTAGACAACGCAACTTGGTAAAATAAGTCTCATGAAAGATAACTGGAAGATAGTCTAATATTTTTAGTGCACTGAGATGTGTAGACATTGTATGGAAAATGACATATAACAAGTTTCACTTGAAGGTCGTCTCTCATGTTAAAAATAGAGTCATTGGTAATCAGGCTCGCGGGCCGGTCAAAATGCCTTCGCGGGCCGGATCCAGCCCGCGGGCCGTAGGTTGCCGACCCTTGCTCTAGCTAATGGTAAAGCACAGAGTGAAGACGGTATACCACCAGAGATCATTAAATGTGGTGTCAGCTTTACTCAAACCACTACATAGTCTCCTGAGCCTCTACTGGAGAGAAGGAAAGTTTCCTCGGGACATGTATAATATCAAGATAATTACTCTGTATAAAAATCACCCTTGACTGCAGTGACTAAAATAACTCTGGTTTTAACGCGAATCCAAGTCCTTGCTGATCGCATCTACCCAGAATCCCAATGTAGATAGAGAGATAAAAGTTTCACAGTTGACAGGCTCTCTCTACGTCAGCTTCTGGAGAAATGCCGTGAAGAACAGATGCCATTATCCATCGCCCTCATCGGCCTCTCAAAGGCGTTCGACTTTGTTAGCAGAAAAGGTCTGCTTCAGTTACTAGTGGAATTGGCTGTTCGCCATAGTTGTTGAGTATCATAACTGTCTTTCCACGAGAACATTCAGGGTGTAGTCAGCTGTGATACCTTCAATGCACCTCACTATTCAGAGTGTCGTAAAACAAGGATACATTTTAGCACCAACTTTGTTTGGCATCTCCTTTTCCATTTTATTGAGCTTTACGTTCAGACAAGACGTAGAACGTGTATACGTACACAAAAGAAACAACGGCAAATTACTCAACTTGGCCCGCCTGAGGGCAAAGACCAAAGTGAATACGGTACCCATCTGAGAAATCCAGTTTGCTGATGGCGCAGGTCTGACCACGCATACTGAACACGATTTCAAAAGCTGATAAGTTAGTTCAACAATGCCTGTGAGGAATTTGGTGCTGACTATGAAGATAAAAAAAAAACAAACGTCATGGGTCAAGATGTTTCTACATCTCCATCAAATAGCATCGATGATATTCTGCTGATTTACGGATCACTTGACATATTTGGGCGCTACTGTCAACCACAACCTATTCCTTGACATGGAAATTGACAAACGTATCGGCAAAGTAGTAGCAGTGATGGCTATATTGATCAAGTGTGTATTGAACAACAGCCAGTTGGACTTGCGCGCTAAACTAAAGACATGTGTCCTTAGTAAACTGCTTTACGGCAGCGAAACTTGGACAACATACATCAGGGAAAAAAAAAGAAAGAAAACACCTGGAAAGATTCCATCTCGGCTGCCTACGACGTATCCTCGGCAACATATGGTGTGTACAAAATTAGCAAACCTGTTGTGTTGGAGCAAGTAGACCTTCCGATCGTGCATCTACTCCCTTGTCAACGTCGTCTTCAATGGCTGGGTCACGTACATTTAATTACTCATGGACGTTTAGCAAAAGACATCATGAGCAGATTATGGGACACCGCCAAGTAGGCTATCCCACAGTACGTTTCAAAGACGTTTGTAAGCGGGACATGACACGCACAGGCTTCGACTCTGGAAGCTGGGAACATATAGTAGACGATTACAATGCCTTGCTCCATGTTGTCCATGGGGGAGTCACAGAGGCCGGCAAAAGGCTAAACTATTTTTTTGTTGTGTCCTTAAAGAGGTTACAAACTGTCAAAGATGCTACTCGAGTGAAGGAACAGTAACACACAAGTAGATGAAAGAAAGAGAGGTTTATTGTAAAACACTTCTAAAAGACAGGGAATCGGGTGGCAGGCTGGTAATTCCCGAAGCAAGGTTATTTACCTTACCTCCCCGCGAAGCAGGATGTGGCAAAAGGCCGTTTTTTTAATGCGCGACCAAACTGATCCCGTAGGCTCGGGCAAAAACTCGCCGTATACACGGGGTCGGGTAGCTGTTTCCACCCCAAACGAGTCCCGTCTGGGTTCCTCTATGCTTGAAGGCAGAGGTTTCGACCAGCACATCTGGAGACGAATCTTCAACTAATTCCCGAAGCAAGGATATTTGCCAACAGCCCCACGCGGTCAGATGTGGTACAAGGTCGAATTTAACGTGGGGTATCCGAACCCGTAGGCTATGGCAAAAATTCCCCATTGACCCCGTAAAAAACGTATCAATTTTCCCAAGCGCATTGGGAGTCACATCAGATCCTTTTTTTTTTTCATTAATTCACTCCAAGCAAGGCGTTAATGCCACTATAATTCAAGGGATTATTGGGAGTGGAAGAGAATGAAAGAAACCGGAAATCCAATACTAAACAGGAAACAAGGGTTAAAACTCTACTCCTGTTTAAAAGGCTAGAGAGGAGAGTGAACAGGACGATAGGCAGATTTATCTACTCATATTGGTCGAGGAGAGCAAAAAACAAAAAAATAATATAAAATAAATAATTAGTAAATAAAATTTCAGAGTTCAGCCGCAGACATTACATAACTAAAGCAGTCTTTAGAAGAAACGGGAAAACTAATCCTAAAGAAGAAATAAGGCATCTGTCTATATTTCTGAGATGAGGCCAGATGATTGTCGCCATGTTTAGCATAGAAATGAATACAATATCGGAACAAGTAATAAGGAGTGCCAGAGAAAAGCGATAATAACAAGAAAAATTGCAATATGAGCTCTGGTAAAAATCGGTGCTGAAGACATTAGGTTTATAATACCCAAAAATTCATACGCAGATGTCCTGTCTGGATAAAGGAGTTGGTTAGATCCAGTGACAGGACCCAAAGAGTGTGAATTCAATCTTTAACGCAGTGAAGAACTTTCAGAGGAGAATTAACAGGAGATAACTGACATCCATTAAACATGGCACGTGGAACTAGAACAGTCTACTCCAGTGAAGCGAAATAAAGGGTTTAGTTCGACATTACAACCACCTGAAGAAGGCCGGAGCGTACAACGAAACGTTGTGATAAACATGGCGATAAAGATGAGGACAATAGTCCGAATAATATAGTGTAAGGAATAAGGTTTAAAACCCTACTCCTGTTCAAAAGACTGGGGAGGAATTTGAAATATCGATAGGCGAATCTATCTACACACTCGATCGGAGATCATCTGAGCGGATTAGGTTACCCTGCCTGAAGTTATTACTAACTGCGCTGTTTTTTGTCAAAACCTGTCATTATATTATTTGGTTGTGAGTAATGCGCGTGGTATGCCCTTATCTGACTGGATAACATGATAGGTACATTGAGCTTCGTATATTTGTACCTGGCCTGACGTAATTTTGTTGTCGTGCTGATCCGTCTCAATAATTATAATGAGCCGGGTATAGTGTTATCAAGCGGGGTACAATGATGGATATATCAGGTCATCCCATAAATTCTGTCCGAATTTTAAATTTTTGTTAAAATGAGCGAAATTTAAAGAGTATCTTATAATGTCTAATGGAGCTGAACATTTTTTTTTATTTCTAGATGCATTTAAACTGATTAGATTTTATTTCAGAGAACAATAAAATTAAATTTTGTTTGATTAAAACGCTGCTAACATGGAAGTACCCAAGAATCATTTGCGGCACATAATGCTTTATGAGTTCAAGCGGCAAGAAACATTAACTCAGTTTATGGAGAGGAATGTGTGAATGAAAGAACTTGCAGAAGATGGTTTGCAAAATTCAGAGGTGGAGATTTAACCCTTGAAGATGAAGATCGAACCGGACGTCCAGTTGAGTTTGATGAAAAGCTTCTTGAAGCAGCCCTTGAAGAAAATCCTGCTTTATCACTTGAGGAATTGGCAGTGATTCTCAGTTCAAGCCATACAACTGTTCATCGTCATCTTCAACAATTTGGAAAAGTTCCTAAACTTGGAAAATGGGTGCCTCATGAATTGTCTGAAAACAACCTCAAATCCCGAGTTGACATCTGCTCTTCTCTCCATTCTCGCCAACTTGTTTCACCTTTTTTAGATAGACTTGTGACTGGCGACGAAAAATGGATCTTTTATCGAAATGTTAAGCGTCGTAGACAGTGGCTTGGTAAAGGGGAAGGACCCCAGCCACAGCCGAGAAGGGAACTTCATGGGCCAAAGGTTCTTCTTTCAATCTGGTGGGGTCGCCAAGGAATAATCCACTTTGAATTCTTACCACCTAATGCAACAATGCTCAAATATACTGTCAGCAATTAGAGCGTTTGAACCAAGCCTTGAGGAAAAAAAGACCTGCTCTAGTGAATCGAAAATAGGTGATGTTTCATCAGGACAATGCGCGACCCCACACAGCAAGAATCACGTCACAAAAGATCGAAGAACTTGGTTGGGAGAAAATTCCTCATCCACCTTATTCTCCCGATCTTGCTTCTTCAGACTACCATTTGTTTCGTAGCTTACAGATTCATTTGGAAGAAACAGCGTTTGTTACACAGGAAGAGGTTAAAATTGACATTTGTGAGTTCTTCGAATCAAAGCCAAACGAATTTTACAGTAATGGAATTAGTAAGCTTGTTAATAGATGGAAGGAAGTCATAGATAATCAAGGAAAATACATTGTTGATTGAATCTGTAATTAAATGTAACATTTGGTCACTTGTTTTCTTTATACAAAAATCGGACAGAAATTATGGGATGGCCTGATATATAGGACTTTGTATATTTCTACGTCAGTGTCATTTTGCTAGCATGTTGCTCTTTCACTATATAATAATAATAATAATAATAATAATAATAATAATAATAAGAAGAAGAAGAAGAAGAAGAAGAAGAAAAAGAAGCACACGAAGATATATTGATGATTTATCAGCCTCTCAATGGGCGCCATTAAGAAAGCGATTCAAGTATTATTTTATAACTTTACAGCCGAATGAACTGAAAATAATTCAGTGGTATAAATTACGCTATTGGTGTTGTAAAACAAAATTTGAATTTATGATTTGTTTATCGCTTTTGAAAACCTCAGCTCATTATTTGAAAAAAAATTCTCTTCTCTTCAAAAAAAAAAAAAAAAAAAGAAAAGAAAAAGAATCCTATAGCGTCTCCTAAGTCAGTGTATTCGTAAATATCCCTCCGCTTAGCGAAACGGTTATCCTCACCAGAAGTGGAATCAGCAGGCAGAATTCAAATTCCAGTCTAGCGTGTTGCGTTCACGTTCTCATTAATTTCCTAGGGAAAAAGTCAATTATTGTTTTCTCCAACCAGCTATGTGTTAAAGAGAAATTTAGACTGGGTTCTTGCTTTGGCTGTCAGCCAGTCTAGGACAATAACAACTTTGAATTCAAAAGCAACAGAAAAAAGAATCCATTGTTTTTTTTCTTTAGATGACATGGTAATTGAAAGATAATATCTCTCTCTATATATATATATTGGAAACGTAAATTAAGATTTTTGCTGTGTTTTTAAAACCCAGTAATAAGTTACTTCAAAATTTGCTTGAGGATGAAATGGAACTAATGTCTTTAATTTAATTACAAAATTAAATTCGAAGCTTTTAGCTTCCTATTTTTGAAACATGGTTAGAACGGTGTAGAAAAAAAATTTTAAATCAATTTATTATATATATATATATATATATATATATATATATATAAAAAGAAATATATTCTTAATGTGTGCTATATTTATGGGATAAAGTGCTCAATATCAGAGATAGAGCGTGTGTAAATATAAAAGTGAACATTGAAGTCAATACTTAGAGGCGCCTCTGCTCGCTGATTCCACTTCTGGCACGGATAACCGTTTTGCTAAGTGTTGACTTCAATGTTTACTTTGATATATATATATATATATATATATATATATATATATATATATATATATATAATCTGTGAATAATGTTGAATAATACATTTCAGATGCATCAAGTGTGGTCTTCAGTGATGCACTGTCTTTATCGTCGATTTCGGGTTTTGCATCATATCGGCTCAAACAGCAACTCCGAACGGATTCCAAAAGGCTCAGGTCTCCTCCTTGATATCATCGTGCTACGCACCTCGACATTGCAAAAAAAAAAAAAAAAAATTCAGATATGGCTAGGAGTCTGACCGTTCTTACTGACATATGTCAGTCAACATCAGCCAATGAAATAAAGGCTTTTCCCCCTTTCCTCCTATATAGTCTTGTCTTTTGTTTCATCCGGTTTTGATTCGCGCTATTTCCCCGGATTTCAGAACGAGGCAAGCTGGTAAGTTCTTGCATATTTTATCCATTCGTTTTAAATACTAATTCCATAATTCGATAACAAAACCTTACTTAATATTACTGTTTCTAAAAAAATAAATCATTATTCTTACTATTATATTAATCTGTAAGTCTGACCTTATACTCTTAATCAAACGGAATTAAAAAAAATGTATGTTAGTTCACGCCTTTACATATAAATGTAGTAAATGTACTGACACACACACATAAATCCTATCTCCCATTTACACTAATTTTATGAAACCGTTCATTGCAAAATTATGTTGTACTGTTTATTTGAAATTCCTTAAAGTTTTGTAATTTATCAATTAATACGATGGTCTAATCTAAGTAAGGGAAAAAAACAAAAGCTAAATAACTAAAAAAAAACCTAAATAATTAAAAAACTTAAATAATTAAAATAAAAAACAAAAACAAAAAACTAAACTACCCAATTAAGTAACATATTCACATTTACTATCTGTTAAATATTATTCAAAATGAATCTATCGAATTAATACTAGTATCAACACTCAACAATTATCAAACTATGATTACTACGATCCTGACTTTGCATTAATAAGAATTACGTATGGAAATGGAAATAAAAACGCAAATACGCATGGATACACGGCAATCGTTAACCGAAAGACAAAAAAAAAAAAATCTCCATCCACTAACCCCCCCAACTCTGACTCGAAGTGTATTTGTATATCTTTTCTTTGTAATTTCTGTAACTACTTACAACATACATGCAATATGGTATTTGTAACCTATGAATATAGCAGGCTGATCGAAGTTGATTTCGAATTTGGAACGGGAAGACATCAATGAGAGACAACAATTTGAAAGTTATACCAAAAGGATTACATTTTTATATATTTTATTATTGTTCACCTAATCCTAGGCCGAGGAGCCATCCAAGGTAGGGAATTACTGAATGATGTTTTTGTAGAAACGTAAGAGTTTAAGAAGTACAGTTTATGAGGATATATAGGAAAGATAACGGTTAGCCAGAAAACTTCAAGTTAAGATTGTACTCATCGAGGAAGCATCCTCTCGGGAGTCTGTTTAACTCACAAAGTAGCGGTTCTGAGAAAGAAGTTGTTAGGATGGAACTACCTTCTTACAAGGTCTTACGGCCACATCACATTGAAACTCCAGCTTCCGTACGATCACCAAAGTTAAGCAACGTCGAGCCTGATCAGTAACAAGATGTCTGACTACTTGAGAATACCAGGTATTGTAAGCTTGGATGTGTGGGTGGTGTAATTGATAATGGTTCGGGATTGTTAATCGGAGAGCCAAGTTCCAATTCCATTTTGGGTTCGTTATATTCACTTACGCAAATACAGCTGGGGAAGGTATGAACCCACCACTTCTCCTACAGCTATGATTTAAATAGTAAAACTCGTATTACTAAATCATTATTATCTCACCAAAAAATGTTAAAAATATTTTCTGGCTTTAAATAACCTGCAATAGAAGAAGATGTGGATTCATGCCTTTCCCAAGGGCATTTGCGCGTAATTGGATATAACGAACCCAACTGGGATATGAACTCGTTTCTCCGAATAAAAATTCCGAGCCATTATCTATTACATCACCCGCACATCCAGGCTTACATAACCTGGTATTCTCAAGCAGTCACAAATCTAGGTACTATCTAGGTTCGACGTTGCTTAAATTTGTTGATCGCACGGAAACCGGTGTTTTAACATGATGTGGCCGTAAGCCTGAAGGGTGATATGGATGGGAGAGAAAGTAGTGGAAGTGTGAATTCTGACGAAAAGGAGGAGGGATTATGATTGACTCTCTCACTTGGAATGATCAAGATTAAAATATTCACGGAAGTATCAACCCGGGAGCTTCTTCCAAAGTCGGAATTCTATCTAAAAAGCTGAGTTGAAGGTCTTTTTTGACATTTGGATAACGGAGAAAAGGGCCCTTCGACCCCGTAATGTAGCGTGTGCTAGCTATAAAAGTTTGAACTCCCGGATCTAAAGATGAGTCCTCATCTAAATATTACGCATGGCAATCTCAATAAAAGAGTGATGGGCTTGCGACATTGCATCTGTCGGAAAGAGAAGTATATCTCTTTTCCGCGATAAGAATTTAGGAAGGGAAGAGAGGAAGATGATCCAAGTTCTAATCGTCCAGCAACTGCTGCGTTTGATATAAACATTTTTCGTGTTTACCACGAGATGGATGACAGGCGGTTGGCTATAAATATAATAGCCAATGCTATTAGTATATCTCATGAGATAATTCAGGATATTCTGCGCAATGAACTTGGCATAACAAACGTTTATACTCGTTGGGTGCCACGTCTTCTGACATCTGATCAAAAGCGCACCAGGCTGATCATATCACGGGAAAATCTGACATGTCTTGAGACAGATCCATCTGGTTTCCTGGAACGTTTCCTAACTTAGGATGAGCGTTGAATTCATTAATTAGAGACAAGCCATGCAGTGAAAATACCCTTCCTCACCTGTTCCAAATAAGGACAATGTCGTTTTTATCTCCAGGAAACATAATGACGCCAGTGTTTTAGGATGCCAAATGCTTATGGACTATATTCAAAAGGGCCGCATCATCAATGCAAAGTATTATGCCAACTTGTCGAGACGATTATGCAAGACTATCAAGAAGAAACACCCAGGAAGAATGGTGAAAGTGGTCTTGTTTCATCAGGACAATGCTCCACCACTCACGTCCTTAGTTTCAAAAGCTGCTGTGCGTGACTGGCTTTGAAATGATTGATCCCTCCCCCTATGCTCCTGATTTGATCGCATCTGACCATCATCTGTTTCCCACGAAAAAACAGTTTGCTAGAAGCAAGTATCACAGTGATCATGACGTCATATCTGCTGCTGATGTCTATTTTGCTAATAGAATGAAAGATTTTTCACTAATGGGATCCAAACACTGCAACGTCGATAGAAGATGTGTATGGATCGCAAGGAGGACTATGTCGAAAAAATAAACCTCATTTGGTCACATTTCGTGATACTGTCTTGGTCGTCCTATGAACTTCATTCGACCCTGGTACGATGAGTAAGAGAATATTGAGAGCATTCATTGCCTACGTTCTTGGGGAACACAGCCCATAGAAGAAGAAGATTATCAAGGCCTATCATGATGAACGATACATTAGGGAGTTAACGATTTATATTTTGTAATGCGTGATGGATAATATGTTCTTCCAGCAATTGTATTGCCCATCGGTTCGCAGTGTCGATTAATTTGAGTAACAGAAATAATTAGACTGAAAAGAATGTCCCGTCCCATTTGAAGATAAAAAAAACAAATGCTTATTTTATGTTAATCGAGATATTCAATAAAGATATTTCTTCTCATTATCGATATCATAATCGTACCTATTTGGCAAAGTATTGATATATGGGTCATAGAATCCTCAGGTTTCCATGCAACGAAACAATCAGTATCTGATTTGAATTAATCTGAAAAGATGATAGTTGGTATGTACCCGAGTTCCCCACACGGTACAATGTGCCACGGTTTGAAAAGATGATAGTCAGAGGAAGCAATGTCAGAAGCGTAAGGAGGATGGATATTCCATATTTATTGCTGTACTATTTTCCTGAGTGGCTCGTTCATTATATGGCGTTACATCATCGTGTAAGATCAGCACGCCCTTACAATTAAGCAATTAATTTTTATTCCAATTAACAACAATGCTTCCCTGAATAAACTGTTACATTTGGTTTAGAACTTCACGAGAGACGATAGCCTTCATATACCCGGAAATAAAGAGCATGTTTTTTTTTATTGTGTAGTTCTAGTTTGGGGAAGTATTCTCATTTTTCATTGTCGTTTTCATTGGGTATGATTATAGGGAACTTACTTTTCATTACTCGCTGTTCTTCCATACTTTGGAAAGATTTGTTAAGAAGTCTATTCTTCAATGAGGAACTGAGGATAACATTCTAATTGAGCTGAGCAGCCAGATGACAAGAGCCACATTGACAAGTTTTAGATATTTTTCTAAGTTCATGAGAGTGTTCTATGAAGAAGTGCCACTTATACAGAGATGTTTTCCTAACTCACCTGCAGTTTGCCTACGATTTCTCTCGACTACCTTTTGCAGTCGCTCAGACTTGTTAAAACTTAGTCGTTTCCATCCAGTGATATATTTCTCCTTCGAAAATGGCAAAACCGTCGTTGGTCTGTCCTGACATTTTAAACCTTCATTTCCATAGAAAAGACGAATATTTTTTGCCTCTTTTGCTAAAGAGTGTTTTTTGTAAATTCACATAGCAGACAATGTCTGGTACGGGTTTGATCTAAACTCATTTCGATAATTTCTGTTAGCTATTCTGACTTTACGTAACATGCGAACCAAGAAAAATAGAATATAGAAATTAATGCCATTCTGCCACCCATTCACTAAAGCTAGTCAGATATTTGGCCTGCTGCCCCCTAAATAACTTTTAAATGTTTTTTTATTTTTTATTTTGTTTTTTTTTAATTAGTGTCACACCAAGCAAGGCAGTGCAACCACTAAGAGGTAAGTGGTTACAGGGTGTGGAAGAATTAGGAACAGAAACATTAGTAATGAGGAGAAAGAGAAAAGCAATCAGGAGGACAGTAGATAGCGATTGACATTGCATTTAAATTTTTGCAGATTAAAGTTGGTTGGAAAGTATGGAGCCGGAAGGGAGTTCCACAAGCGAGAAGTGCGAGAAAAGAAACAGCGTAGAAGTTACGACTTCATCTAGCTAGTAAATTGATGGGATCTCGCCGCCAGTCTAATATCGCGCTTAAATTCAAAGTCTAGATACTATAGCAAGTATTTATTTAAAAAAAAAAACGACACAAAGAGGCAACCTTACGGCGGTAAGCAAGTAAGTGAACCCAAGCCAACAAATCAGGATCAATAATATTGCCGATTATTCTTTGAATCTTATCAAGGAACTCCAGGTAAATCGCACCGGACCATACATGGCAGCAATATTCGAAGCATGGACGAATGGTAGACTGCAAGTTAGATTCAACACAGAAGAATTAACAGGCTCGACACAGTGAACCCACTTTCTTAGCAGCTGACCTAGCAATGGATTTAATATAGTCTTTTCACTTCATGTCAACTGAGAACGCAATGAGTCGCTTTCCAGTTGCATAGCAACAGCCATGCTGATGGAAAGCAAAGAGGGGTCTCTGAGATGATTTATAGAGAGAAGTTTAATTTTAAAGGCGTTAAAATCAACACGCCATCTTTGGCCCTAGTTTTCGACGGTCTTGAGGCTGTTTTGTATATCAGCTGTAATTTTGACCTTGTCGGACTGATCGGCCTTAGTATCAACGTAGACCGAAAGAATTTTCTGGCTAAAATTGAGGTCTGAATTTCTTTTTCTAATTTACTTTTATTTTTATTGAGCAAGCAGAATGAACTTTCTGGTTAAACTTTTATCGTAGTACTAGATTGGCGACAAGGACTCATCATTTTACAGTTGAAATATCTAGATGTAACCGTAAGTTCTATGCTAACAGTTTCTTCTCTCGAACTTCTCGCCTGTGGAACTCTCTTCAGGAGTCTAGATTTCCACCCAACTTTGATATTCAGAAATTTAAATACAGTGTCAATCGTTACCTTCTGTCTTCTTAATTTTTGTTCTTTTATTGTTCTCTCACCTTAGTAACATTTTGCTTTTTCGCATGATCTTTTACACGTAGTAACCTCTTTCAGTCTTAGTGGCTTTATTGTCTTGCTTCTTGTGAAATAATTTTTAAAAGGTGTTTTTTTGCATAGAGTTATTCATTGGAATCATTACGTTAAACATTTTCTTTAATAGCAACAGCAGAAACAACAACAATAATAATAATAATAATAATATATATATATATATATATATATATATATATATATATATATATATATATATATATAAAGTTGTAGCCTCTGTCTGTCTGTTTGTTTGCTATCGAACTCCTCCTAGGGTTTGGAGACAGACCCCCTTAACCATATATATTCTGAAACCACATTACCCAGGATACTTGGATACGTATATTTCATTTTGATTAGATGGGGTTCCCCGTGGGGGGGTTCTTGGGGGTTGTGGGGGTTCCTGTGGGGGTTCCCTGTGGGGGCACCCCTACTACTAAAATGTTTTTTTTTCTTCTTTGATTTAAATTAAATATAATTTGAACAAGGCAATGACTCCTGCGATATTTAGATAAGTATATTTCATTTTCATCAAATTGGGTCTTCGGGAGGCATCCCCCC